ACATTAACATCCAATGTTAGAGCAACTTCGTCAAAAGCTTACCTTACCTGAAACCAAATCCATATTACAATTGAACTGTCGCCACTCACCGGACACAGCTAATTCACTTTTTAACTCAGAATTTACTAATCTTTTTGCAATCCTTTCACTTCAAGAACCAACGGTAAACAATTTTGATTATCTACCCCAAGAACAAACTAACTGGACACTTGTCTGCTCCACACCTACCAAAAGAAGGACAGGAGCCCGCCCTCGCGCCTGCCTTTATATACAAAAGAACCTCCAAGCTCAAATAAACCCACTCGCCTCACCATCCGGAGACATAGCGGCATGTACTGTCACATTTACATCTGGCTTCACGCTGCTTGTTATCAGTGTGTACAACGACACCTCTATATTCTCTGGATTCACTGCATACAAAGCCTTAATGAAAGGTCTACCAATGGACATTCAGCTCTTACCAACGATACTCAACACCGACTCTAATCTTCACTCAGCCATTTGGAACCCCTCCCATATTGAAACACACGACAACGACTCTGATAAGCTCATGGACCTGATGTCTGACTGGAACTTGCACCTGAGGTCTCCAAGAGGCATTGCAACCTTTGGAGTGGGATCAAGCACAACCTTGGGCACTTCCATCGATCAGGTTTGGGTCAACGACGCCCTTGATGATGCCATCCAGCAATGTATCATCGATGAAGAAAGCCTCACTAGCCATTTTTCCGACCACCAAGCCCTTATCACAACTTTCCTCATTCACAACAAATCCACCCCAGTGCAATCTAACTGCAGAACCGCAAAAAAATGGCATAAGGTTGAAAAGATTGCTTTCAAAAATGATGTCCAAAATGCTCTTCCCAAAATTGAACCACTGATAACACGTGCTCAGCTAGAGGCCTTTGACAGGGGACTAATCACAGCCATCACAGAAGCACTTGAGAAGAACTCCCTGTGGAAACCACCCATTGGCAAGCATAAACAATGGTGGAATCCGTCAATCCTAGAGCCTCTCAGGAAAGAAGCCCAACGATGTGAACGAAAAATGAAAAAAAGCCGATCCAAAGAAGATCGACAAGCGTTCAAAACAGCAACCACCAAAGCAAAGGAGGACAACTGGAAAATTTACCTATCAACCTTAACCCACAACACTCTTTTTCAGGCAAAGAAATATGTGTCAGGACGGCAAGCTTCACCTGTAATCAATACCCTGATAACCTCGACAGGAACAACATGTACGTCTAATGCCGAGAAAGCTGAAGCACTTTTCAAAGCCACATGCGTAGCGACGGCACCGTGCGACCTACAGGACACCACTCCCATTGATTTCCCACTAACCGAAGACTCAAAAACCACCAAATCTACCATGCCCAGCCTCATCTCTTTCCTCAGTAAGGAGATCCTGGGCAAAATAGTCACCAACAGCCCTCCCCTGAAAGCGCCTGGCAGCGATGGGATCCAGAACTGGGTTTGGAGGGAGCTGTGGTCCCAGGTAAGGCAACATGTTCTGACATTGTTCCAGTGCATCACAATCACCGGAATCTTCCCATCACATTGGAAAGAAGCCACCATGTATCAGCCTTTTATTGAAGAATGTTCAACAGATGGTGTGCCAATGATTACGTCTATACCCTGGCAGTTCCCTTTAATCCCTTACTTACTACTCATCCATGTGGTACTTTGGCAGGTCCAGTTGTGAAATCCTATAGGTAACACCCGCTATGTTATGATACCTAGCTAGGTCCCCTAATTACCCGCAAGAAACCCCAATATGTCACCTCAGTTTACATTAACTGTGTAAATCACATTCCTAGGGTTAGGGTGTGAGTCAACCTAGAGTATCATTTCACCACTTTGTTGGGAAACCCAAATTATCCCATATTTCAAACTTACCTTCTCTGTGCATCAAATCGAACCATCTTGAATCAAACCATCAAGGCTCTACTGTCCCAACCTGGCTCAGCATTGTCTCCTCCACTGCAACTGCAAAGCCTTGTCATCTAACTACAGAAATTGCTGATTGGCCTAGTGTATTGTTGGACTCTGTGCTACAAACCAGGGGGTCATACGGTGTTCTGTCAGTTAGGTGGTTTGGGCAATTGCTTGTTTGGATCAGTCACCAAATCAATAATATCATCACACTCTCTTCCACTGTCTATATCAAACCAAATCTGTTATAAACGCTATCAACTAACCAGGGAATACTTGTGAGCCTACTAGCGTCTGTTAGGCTAGTAGAGTCAATAAAAAAGTTGTAGAAGGTCTGATAACTTCTACCAAAGTCGTGTAGATCAATATCTACTAGTATGAATGGGTATAGACTTGGGTGTAAGAGCTTTACTTGTAATAAACAAGTAAAGACTACAGTTAGTTGACCTTTAAACAAAGGCTTTAGTCAAGGGATTTTGGGTTAATTATTGTCTTTACAATAATTAAATATAAGAGCAACTGAAGCGCAGTCCTCAATCCTAAATTGATCCTCTTCTTATTCAAAGAAAGGTCAAAGAAGGTGGTGTTAAAGTCTATTATAACACCGGGAACTTTACACTCTGACTAATAGAGATTTCCCCGTAGATTTAGAGTTTCTTATATCAGATGAATCCCAAATCTGATATGAGCAATACTCAAGGACTACTTCCTTACAAGTAATTCCACCAAATGGATATTACCATAAATACTGATTATAGCGTCTAATCAGAAACAAAGTTGAATGAGCACACAGAATAAGCAACAAGACACAAGGTTTGAGTTTCAAAGTTCGTAGAATCAGGCCTTTAAAGTTTGGTAATTGATAAGCAAAGTTTAAAGGTTCTAGGAAGATGAATAAAAGTAAAATTGTGTAGTTGTTGAATGATAATGTGATGATGTTCTCCTTCTCAATTTGGTTGGATTTCCAGGGTTTATATAGTCTGAACCTTGGAAATCTTTGGACTACAAGTGCGCACAAATTGTGGTTCTATGGTTAGGTTAATTACAGTAAGACAGTTACTATTGGATTATAAGTATATTTCACTTGTTACATATGTGTTACGGCTGTGAAATATATGTAGCTTTGATTTGCATCAAAGTTATGAATGTTCACACCCTTTGATGTAAGTTCTGCACATGTTACATATGCTAAATCATATGTAACTTGACTCTTGAAACTGAGCCTTGAGTTGTAATTGCTATTTCTAAGGTTTTTATTATAATATGTCGCCCATTGGTACTCTGGTTTAGTACTCAGGGCTGACATTCCCCACCACCAGAAGAGGTCATACGCCTTCTCAAGGTTTATGATCTCTTTTTGATGCTCTAAATGTGTGGAGTTATTACTTCATTATCTCCTTTATTTTTCTCTATACACTTCCCTGCATGAAGTCCTTGATCTTAGTGCTGGGACTCCATCTCAGATTCACTATCCTCATATTCTACAAATTCCATTGTATCACCTGCTCCTTCATTTTCATCTTCTTGTTTATCTTCCTCTGCTTCAACTGCGTTTATGGCTGACCCTTTCCCTTTACATGTTCTCCAAACATGCTGAGGATCTGTACTGCCACAGGTATTGCAAGACTTACTACTTTTCCTTTCAGTAGTAGGATGTTGAGCTTTTGTACTGCTTACTTGGTGCTCCCTGTGGTCATTATTTGACTGAGATTGATAATTATTTGTCTGCGTTCTTCTAACAGGCATCAAACTTTTAGCAATATCTTCAAAAGCTAGAATGAAATCTGTCCAACTACTATCCGGACCAATTCTATTTTGGACTGGGATTCTGATTGTGCTGGGTAGCTGCCAAAGTACTTTTTCAGCTACTTCAGATGAGTCTGCATTTGGTCTAAATGATCTAAAACGCTGTTGTTGCCTTGAAGCCCATTTAACACAATCAGAATGGATATCTGGTTTGAATCTGTCTCTCATGAATAGTCTCTCCATGTAAGACCTCCATTGAGCATTACCAAACCTGGTCTGAATAGCTTGTTTCCATTCCTCCCAAGTTTTATTATGCCCACCGTCTTCTTTCATGACGTCCATAACCCATTGTCGAGCTACACCAGTAAATACAATTGATAATTTTGATGTAATCAAAATATCTGGCATTTGTAAGCGCACTGGTACTGCGTCAACCCAGTCAATAAACTCTTGGTGATTGTACTCCCCTTCCCCGCTAAAGGTAGGCCAATCTTTGACATTAGGATATTCTTTCCTTAGTTCTTTTCTGATTGATGCTTGACGCAACAATTCTGTGGTCATTTCTAAACCTACCATTGAATTTTCAGGTTGCAACACGGTGCTTTGACCTATTTGTTGGGAAAAGAAGGGATTATCTCCAAGGTTAGGGGTAGTTTCAGCTCTGAACCTTGATCCATTATCTTGCCTGTCAAGGTGAGGAGGTACACTTCTGACATTTCTTGTGGACCACCTTGCATGGGAGTTTGACTGATACCTTCAAAATTTCTCACTATTGAGCCAACTCTATTTGTAGTAAAGTACTGTTTTGTACTGTCCTGCACT